TTATCTTTATTCCTTTTTCTTTTATACTTTAAAAAATTTGTTTTCTACTTCCAGAGAATGATGGATAATCAGAGTAGGGAGTGAGTGCTGAGTCCTTTTTCTCCTCACTCCAGTCTGTAGCAAGCTTCCTGTTCCTTTAGTTACCTTTCACCTGTGTGTTGTTTAGAATTTACAAATGGAAGAGCTCTCTTACAGCAGAAGAACACTCCTCTACAGTACTTTAAGTTAAAAGTTCCAGGCAGCTGGTAATTTGACTTGTATCTTTGACCTCAAGTGAGTGTGTGTGTATTTAAATCCATCTTAATAGAACATATCAGAGAACCACAATGGACAGTTTTGGAGTAAAACTGCAGGTTCTTAAAACCCAGGAAAACCAGTTCCAGGTTTCTATAACCTAAACCACTGTCATTGAATTGATTCTACTCATAGCAACCTTACAGGACAGAGTAGAACTTCCTCCACAGGGTTCCCAAAGCTGTACATCTTTACAGAAGCAGACTGCCATGTCTTTCTCCAAAAGAGTGGCTGGTGAATTCAAACTGCCAACCTTTCTGTTAGTACCCAAGTATTTAAACACTGCACCACCACGGCTCCTTTCCCATAAACTAGGCATCCACTTATTGCTGCACTATGCTGTGTGTCTCTAGAATATATCTGTAGTGTTTTAAAACCTAAGAAAAAAACACAGTGCCTTCTTATGGGTTAATTTTGAGAAATGCTTAGAAGGTACCATGTAATAGTATGTGTAGTCATATTTTTCACATGTTGAGAGCTTTCCTTGCTGGTAGAATAAAAAGGAAATAGATGTTTTGAAATGTTTTACATCACAGTTTTGAGCTATTTGAGCTCTTACAAATGAGAACTAAACCCTAATACAAGCGTGTGGTTTGTGTCTGCCCTGTCTAGATTCCTATACCCAGCTACTTGATTGCTTTGGTTGTCGGAGCTTTAGAGAGCAGGTGAGCTTTGGAACATCTCGTTTGCATATTCCTCAAGATACTAAATAACAGCCGGAAAAATTCAAATTTAATTATAAAATGTAAGGAAAATTTAAATTAAAAAGTCTTTCCCAATTACCCCTTGGATTTCCTTTTTATTAAGCTTTTTAATTTTGCAGGCAAATTGGGCCAAGAACATTGGTGTGGTCTGAGAAAGAGCAGGTGGAAAAGTCTGCTTATGAATTTTCTGAGGTTGGTCACATAGTTATCCTTATTAACAATTTTGGTAGATAATAGGTTAAAGATTTTGAGTGTGAATTGGAGTCATTTTAAGTGATGTAGCAAAAGAATGAGTTATATCTTACTTTATGTGAATTTCCAATTACTAGATTCCTTCTATTTCATTTAAAATAAACATCACTAATAGAAAGCAATATACACTTCTAAGAAATTTGTTATGGTGATAATTAAGACATTCAAATATGCACACATTCATTTTTCAGACTGAATCTATGCTTCAAATTGCAGAAGATCTGGGAGGACCGTATGTATGGGGGCAGTATGACCTATTGGTCCTGCCACCCTCCTTCCCTTATGGCGGCATGGAGAATCCTTGCCTTACTTTTGTAACTCCTACTCTACTGGTAAGTGTAAATATTCATTCATTTGAAATAAAGTCTTCTCAGAAATAAACCTAGGCCTGAAGAACTTAGACTCCTAATAATATAAAAACAAACCTTATCTCTTATTCATATAACCCTTGTTTCCAGTTTCATTGTTTATTTTGGTTATCATAATCATCTCATCTTTCAAAAGAAAATGAATTGCCCATTTGAGGGAAGAGATTATGTTCAAGGTGTTTGGGGACTTTGGAGAGAGAGGACGCTATGTAAGAGTGATTCGTTGATGAATTGTTTCTAGACAAGGAAACTATACTGTTGACTCTTGCCATGTGCCAGTTACCAGTTACTGTGGAGTCACTTCCAACTCACGGCAACCCCCATATGTGTTGGAGTAGAACTGTGCTCCATGGAGATTTCAGTGGCTGATATTTTGGAAGTAGGTCTCCAGGTCTTTCTTCCAAGGCACCTCCGGGTGGCCTTCAGCCTCCAGTCTTTAGGTTAGTAGCCAAGCTTGTTAACCATTTGCACCACCCAAGGATGTCACATTTACCACAGAGGTACTGGCAAAAAACTCTGTGCCACATACAGGAAAGGATTAGGACACAATAGCTTGCTATATTTTATATGCCTTTGCAAAGTAAATACTTCCTGGAAACAGGTGAGTAATGGATCAGCAGCTAAATAAATAAAATCAACCACTAGAGACACAGGAAACTATAAACTTAAGTATGTTGCGGATAATAAGGAGAGAAAGAAATGAAAGGAAACAAAATGTTTCCTGGAAGCCATTTAGAGACGAGTAAACCGGCCCTCATGGTATTGGAAAAAATTCCCTAGGGTTAATAAGAGAAAGAATTATGCTGTTTTTTTTAATCCTGCATTTGTCTGTTTGTTTTCTGAATACATGTCTCTTCTGAATTGTTTGGAATGCCATAGTAGAAATACCCAAACCCAAAAGCAAACCAACTGCCACTGAGTTGATTCCAACTCATAGCAACCCCTATAGGGTTTCCTAGGCTATAAATCTTTATGGAAGCAGACCAGCTCATCTTTCTCTCATGGAGCAAGCAGCTGGTGGGATCAAACTGCCGACCTTTTGGTTAGCAGCCAAATGCCTTACCACAGCACCACCAGAGCTTCTTAGTAGAAACACAGTGGGTCATTAATGCTAGATTATTAGACATTGAAGTAGGTGGTTGCCGAGGGGGCAAGGAGGCCGCATCTTCTGACCTCCTATAACCCCACAAGAGGAAGACAGAATCACCATCAGTAGCCCAAGGCCTATTCCTGCGAGGCCAGACATGCTGCCTCCCTCCAGCCTTTTCATCAACTCTGACACCAACCATTCCTCCCGCAGCACCCATGACCTCTTTGCTGGGTTCAATAATTCGCTGCAGTGGCCACACAGAATCACATATTATGGGGTTTATTAGGGAAGCAACAGGACACAATTTAAGGTCAGGAACATGTTGAGTCTCTCTCAGCTTGCTGTCTCTCAGCTGACATTTTCTCTTAGTCTCTCTCCCAGCAGTGCGTGTCTCTCATGTCTGCCAGCTTCTGCCTCTAGGGTGGCTCCTTTGGAGCTTGGCAGAGTGACCACTAACCAAGCCCAACATTACAATTCTGTGCACCTGAGAGAGAACAAACTTTCCAGAAGATTGCTTCGTGCTGGTGCAACAGAAGTACCCCAGGTGGATAACTTTAGCAATCAGGAGCTAGTCAGTTGCTCATGGCAAATTCCATCACAGAGTTTACAAAGACTTACGGCTAGAAAAGCCACACTATGTAATTTACTACACCGCAGTGGTCTTTCAGATTAAAGTCTGTATTTTGATTACTGAAATACTAAGATAATTTTCTTTTTTTGTTTTAGGCAGGTGACAAGTCACTCTCCAATGTAAGTTAAAATTTCTTATTATGGTCCTACTCTCAAGAAGTATTACAATTGACATTAAAATGTTCATTGTATTGTTATATTGAAGATAAGCTTAAAAGAAATAATTTGGGGCTCCCTAAGGGAGTGAGTAGTTGGACATGTGGGCTCAGGACTGTGGGTACAGGGGACATCAAGCTAAATAGGCATAACATCTTACACAAAAAACATTGTTTTACATCCTACTTTGGTGAGTAGCAACTGGGATCTTAAAAGCTTGCAAGTGGCCATATAGATGCAACAATGGGTCTCTCTTCATCCAGAGAAAAGAAGAATGAAGAAAACCAAAGATGCATGGAAACAGTTAGTCCAAGAGACTGGTAGACCATGCAATCCTTGGCTTATATATCCAGAAGAAGTAGATGGTGCCCAGCTACCACTGTCAACCACTCAGAGGGGGATCAGTGCAGGAGATCCTGGATAGAGTGGGAGAACAATGTGGAACAAAACTCAAAATCATTAAAAAAAAAAACCAAAAAACAAGTTTGCTGGTGTGATAGAGCCTGGTGAGACCCCTGAGACCATGGTCCCTAGCTATCCTTCAAGTCTGGAATTGAACTTACTCTGGTGGCTTTCAGCCAAATAATAGACAGGCATATGGGCTGAACACTTACATCAGGTAGATACACTACGTGGAGTAATCAATCATGGGAGAATAGAAGGGCAGTGTTTGCCCAGGGAGACAGCTCAGGGAGCAACAGTGCACAAGAGGGAAGAACACAGGGAAGAGGTAACTGCAGGAGGAAATGGGAAGAGAGCTGTTACACTGTGGGGAACTGCAGTCAGAGTCATGAGCCAAAATGTGTGTGACCTGCTGTGTGGAAAATAAATTTGCTCTGTAAACGTTCACCCAAATCACAATTTAAAAATAAATAAATAAAAGAAATAATTTGGGGATCTTTCTTATATTATTACATTAATAGACATAAGAAAATGTTGATTCAATCTTCTTTTATGTTTATGAAATATTTTATAATAGAGTTATATATCCATTTAATATTTTCTAAATAATGTTTGTTTCTAATTATTGTAACTAAGCCATATGTTTTTATTTTGGGTAATTTTTTTTTTTTTTTTGCTAAACTGAGTAGCTCCTGAGTATCTTAGCTAATGTTTGAAAAAAAAAAAAAAGGAATAACAGTGGAATTGAAAGAACTGAAGAGCCTAAAGAATGGATTATTTTCAGTTAAAGTAATAAATGTTCTCACTAACCACTTTCACTTTTTCTTTTAGGTAATTGCACATGAAATATCTCATAGTTGGACAGGAAATCTAGTGACCAACAAAACTTGGGATCACTTTTGGTAAGGTGGTTTTTTCTAATTTCCTCAGTGGTCCTTGCTATTGATTAATTTCTCTTTCCATGACTCCCATCACTCCTAAAATAGTATACATCTTGTTATGCTGTGTTATCATCAAGGTAGACAGAGTTTTTTTTTTTTTTTTAATACTGTAAGGCTTTTCACCTTGTTAGGTACATTGTAGGTGTTCAGCTTATGTTTACTGGTTTCTGATGCAGGCACATTTTGATAGGTAGACACATAAAACCAGGGCCGTGGCCTAATTTTCCCTGCTTCCTTCTGTTGGGCTGGACTTCCCATTGTTCTGAATTAGGTGTGCGGCAGGGACCACATAGGCGTTCTGCTCACATTGCAGTGTTCGTGCTTTACAGTTGCTTGGATCTGTAGAGAAGCCCTGAAGAAAATACCTGGTTGATTAAAATGCCATTTCCCTTCAGCTATGTCAGTGTTTTGATTTTATCTTTCTTTGTTTTGTTTTTAGGTTAAATGAAGGACATACTGTATACTTGGAACGACATATTTGTGGACGATTGTTTGGTGAAAAGTTCAGGCATTTTCATGCTCTGGGAGGATGGGGAGAACTACAGAATACGGTAAATGGGTCTATTTTTTAAAGCATTCATCTGAAATTCATGGATGTTAAACTAACATTGATGTTAGTTTGTAAAGCATCTTCATGAAGTAGGAACAAGAAAGGTATGGAAAGGTAGTGATCATTGTCTGAACTGAGAGCTATAGGACCTCTTTGGGTCTTTTGCCATTTAGACTTCCACAAATTTATGCCAACATATCGTACTATTTCCAGTGTCTCAAGTTTGTTCAAGTTCTAGACTGCCCAGAAAGTTATGCTACTAAGAAGTAATACTCCTTATCAGCTTGTTTGCGTGGTGGTACCAGTCTTCATATAAGAATGAATGTTCATCCGCCTCTGTGTCTTGCAGATAAAGACTTTTGGGGATACACATCCTTTCACCAAACTTGTGGTTGATCTGAAGGATGTAGACCCTGATGTAGCATATTCGTCAGTTCCCTATGAGAAAGGCTTTGCTTTACTCTTTTACCTTGAACAACTTCTTGGAGGACCAGGCAAGTAGTTGGCATTTTCAGATTTTTTTTTTTTTTCCCCCTTCTCTTTTCAAGAGTAATGTAAAGAATAAGGAAGGGTTTTTAAATTGTTGTTTTCTATTTCTAATTCATTCCGATCTGGCTGCCAAAGAGATCTGTTGAACAAAATGTCACCTCTGTGCATAAAATCTTGAATAGAACCTGAATTCTAAATTGTGCTGCTTGAGTTTTTAGAAACCCCATCTGTATTTAAAAAATCAAAATGTCTCATGTGCTTGCTGAAAAAGCATGTACAATGTAGAAATTTATGAGTAACACATGACAGTCCCTCAGCCCCCGTCTATTCTTAGGGGTTAACCATTCCTTTTCTGTGTCTTCATTTGTGTCATCCCCCTAAGCTGGATTAATTAACATTTCTCTTCTCCCTTCCACCAAATTATACATATTCTTTAAGGCTCAACTTAAGTCCTACCTCTTTTTTTGAACATTCTTTACTCTTTTTGTGTGTGTGTGATTGAGGTGAAAGTTTACAGAGCAAATTCATGTTCCATACAATAGTTCATTCACATTTTGTTTCATGACATTGATTGCAATCCCCGTAATGCAACAACTCTCTTCCCACTTCCTCCCTGTGGTTACCTTTTCCCTGTGTCCTTCTTTCCTTTATATTCCTGCTCTCTGCGCTAGCTCCCTGTGTGAACACTGCCCTTCTGCTCTCTCATGGTTGATTGTTGTAAGGAGTATAGCTGCTTGGTGTAAATGTTCACCTTATATGCTTATCTATTGCTTGGCTAGAAGCCACAGGAGTGAGTTCAATTCCAGGCCTAAAGGGTAATCCACCTGTAGATTAATGTTGGTGATTACTGATAATGCAGTATTGTGTATGGAAAACCTTTTATCTTTATTGTCACGCATTCTTTACTCTTAAAGCCCTCACTGGTTTTCCTATTCTTTGAATGTTCTCTGTGGTTAATAGCATAACACCAAGCACAATGCTAAATAATTACCTTTACTTTTCCATTAATTTATTTTTGTTGTTAAACTTTCAGAGGTTTTCCTGGGATTCTTAAAAGCTTATGTTAAGAAATTTTCTTACAAGAGTATAACCACTGATGACTGGAAGGATTTCCTCCATTCTCACTTTAGAGATAAGGTTGGATTTAAAATGCTTTCTTATTTTTCATGCTCATACATCATTATTTATTGGCTATTTGTTAGGCTGATTTGAATTACTTAATAGTAGTATTGGTTTAAAATTTGTTTAAAGACTAAATATCTCATGATATTTTCTTCCTCTTTAAAATGTGATGTCAACAACAGGAACTAATGTGTAGAGTTTTCCTATTTTGGAGAGATCCTCAATAGAATGTGTCTGAATTTTATTTTTTTATATAACTAATTTTCCTATTTTAATTATTTAACAGAACACTACTGATGAATACATACTTATTTTAGAAATTCTCTTGACTAGCCAATGTAGACAAAATTAGAGATTTGAGGACCTAGAAGCTTGCCTTAGATGCCCCCACCCCCCAATATAAAAGTTTGTTCTGTGGCAAGCTGGGTATTTTTCTTACTGTTCACAGGTTGATATTCTCAATCAAGTTGATTGGAATACCTGGCTGTACTCTCCTGGACTGCCTCCTGTGACACCCAAGTAAGTGCTTACTTGATGATGCGTTCATTCTCATTTACGAGTCCTGTTCCTGTGGTTGCTGCCCTCAAGCTGATTCTAACTCAGGCAGCCCCATGTATGTGTATGATCCTACCTCAGGCAGCCCCATGTGTGCGTATGATCCTACGCATGTGTATGGGTGAGCCTACCTCAGGAGCCCCATGTGTGTGGATGATCCTAACTCAGGCAGTCCGTGTGTGTACATGATCCTACCTCAGGCAGTTCCATGTGTGTGCGTGATCCTAACTCAGACAGTCTGTGTGTGTGGATGATCCTAACTCAGGCAGCCCCATGTGTGCGTATGATCCTACCTCAGGTGGCCCCGTGTGTGGGGGTGATCCTACCTCAGGCGGCCCCATGTGTGCGTATGATCCTACCTCAGGTGGCCCCGTGTGTGTGGGTGAACCTTCCTCAGGCGGCCCGTGTGTGTGGATGATTCTAACTCAGACAGTCTGTGTGTGGAGTAGGATATAGAATTTTCAAGGCTGTGATCTCTCAGGAGCAGGTCACCAAGGCCTTTCTTCCAAGGTGCTTCTGGGTGGGTTTGAACCACTAACCGTTGAGCCTTTAAAGGTACTCAGAATTCCAAAAGAATTGTTTGCCTGTCTTAATCTGTTATTGCTTAGTGATTAGAGTTCTTAGGTGTTTGGACCTTCACCCTGAGGCCAAAGAATAATTTCCATGACATTATAACATATAATTCAATTTATTGCAAATAATTAAGTCAGCTGAAAGATTTCCTATTTCCATCACTTAAAACTATTTACTTTGAAATTTAAATATGTTCTATAGCATTTTGGTGAAAGCATATGCATTTATAAAATATAATCTTTAATATTTTTTCATGTTTGCAGTTATGATAAGACTCTGACAAATGCTTGTATTGCCTTAAGTCAAAGATGGATTACTGTGAGTAGTGATGTGTGGTTTTTTCACTCCTTTTTGAATACTGGAAATGTGTCTCTCCTCATGACGATGGCATGGTGTATCTTACTCATGAACAGTTGTATTTGGAAAGGCTACTTTTAAGTCATGTTTTTAATGTTTCCATTAAAAACTCTACAAGCTCCTAATGTATAAAATTGAGTTTCAAGGGGGAAAAATTGACATTAGTAGCAGTACTGATTTGTCTTTTTTCCTTTCAACTCTTAAAAAATAATGTAAAAATATTTGCATTTTCCCTTCCTTGTTTCCCTCAGAAAATTTTATAAGATACTACTTCAAACATAGCAATTACAAATGCCAGATAAATGCAAACTGATCTTGAGTGACCTGCAGTGCCAATTGTTACTGATGGGAAGAATTGAGGCAGTTTTGTTCTGACATAGCTTTGTTCATTTTCATGAACCTTCCTAAATAGATACTGAAACATAACCTTTCAGGGAAACTAGAGTATGTGTCTTGGATAATTCTTTAGTGGAAAAGAACAGAAAATTTAGAAATAGTCCAATTATATACAGCAAATTTAGGTATTCCCCTTTGGAACTTGTCTCTAAAGTTTATTCAGTCATATTTCCTAGCATCTTCTACATACAAGAATGGCTAGGTTTTGATATGAAGCAGAAGAAGATGCAAAATAGCACCTATCTTTTAAAGTAAATTTTCTGTAAGGCTGTTGTTAGGTGCTGTCGAGTCAGTTTTAACTCCTAGCAACCCCTTGGACAGAGTAGAACTACCTTATAGAGTCTCCTAGGCTGTAATCGAGGTGGGTTTACATAGTCGCTGCCACAGTGGCTCAAACATAGCAACGATTCTGAAGATGGTACAGGACCAGGCAGCGTTTCATTCTGTTGTACACAGGGTCGCTATGAGTCAGAGCTGACTCAACAGCATCTAACAATAACAAGAAGAAAAACCGTCTTTGTGGGAACAGATCACAAGGTCTTTCTGCAGAGCTGCTGGTTAAATTTGAACTGTCAGCCTTAAGCAGCCGAGCACTTAACCACTGTACCACCAGGGTTCCTTTGTAAGAATATACAGGGAACTATTAGTATTGGTTACCGAGGAGTAGGACTTGAAAATGGAACAAAAACAAAGGAGCTTTACATTCTATCCTATTTTTTTTTAACATTTGTGTATATCTCTTAAATAAAAAATAAAAACTCGTTGAAAAAAGTTTTTAACTAGTTTTAAAAGATTTTTAAATACTTATTATTTTGATAAGCTTTTATTTAATAGTTCTTGATCATATCCTCAAATGTTGGTGGCTATGAATCCTAATTTTGAAAAGCACAGATGCACTTTTCTTTTTCTTAGATGTATTCCAAGATTCAGTAGGGAAAATAGCATGGAAGAGGCTGGAGGGAAGCATCAATTTGTGGCCTTATCAATTTAATAGTGTGATATTACAAAGAATTTGCACTTTCATCCTTTATCCAAAAATTTTAAATGACCTATAAATTAGTTGGCATGCTTTTTATAATGTTTTCTTTATTTTGGAAATCTATATACCTTGAATGGTATAAAAGATGTCAAAAGTTTTCTCAAGACTCACTATTAGTAGTCTAATTGTTCTTAAGTAGTATAATTTTAGGAGTCACATCCTCTTT